CTAGCGCCAGGTAGGCTGATGTCCACCCATCCTGGGTGCATGGCTTAGATACGCTTGCGTTGTCTTCAATATAGAGCGCACTGCAGCTTCAGCTAAGGTTGTGGGCGCAAGTGACTGGCAGAGCGCCGCTGTAAAAAAAGACACGCGCATGATCGTGTTAGTTCACGGGGCCAAAGCATGCATGCGTGCGCATGTCATGTTCATGGGGGATCATGTTGGCTCATGGGTTTTCACGCTGATTCACGGGTTTTCATGCCGGTTCACGTTTTTTCTGGCCGAGGTGTTCATTATGGCCGTCTGTGTTGAGCTTGGTGTTGCTTTGCGATTTGCAACGCTTGTCTTGTCTTGCTTCAGGTGGGCGCGAAGCTTAGATGGTCCGGGCCTCAGTACATGCACGCATGCCAACATGTACATGTAGAGTATAAACCTGTAGACATGGGAACATGGAACCATGCATGTAAACATGTTACATGTAAACACCCTATAGCTAACATGTTTCATGTAAACATGTCACACGGAACCATGTGACATGTAAACATGTTACATGTAAAGAACATGTTCATGGCTTCCATGGAAACATGAATGCGTGTACGTAAAACCATCATTAGTAAACTTTACTCGTCAACTTGTTCATGGCAGTAGGTGAACCCATGACATGCTGTCTGGAGCTCAGCAAAGGTCCACCTTATTCATGGAGCTTGCGTGTGTGATCCCATGGCAGGTGAAGTTCTACAAGCATTGCTGGTGGGACTCTGTGAGCGCTCCTTCAACCAGTGACCTGTGTGCTGCGCAGCTTTTTTTGAAGGGTATGTATTACCTCTATTTGTCAACTCTTGTTTCTTTAGCTGTTTGGGCTTGTGAGAGCTTGCCATCATGCCGAAGCTGCTGAAGTCTTTGAGCGAAGACCCTGACCTAGCAGATAAATATGCTGCAGCTTTTGCGCAAGAAGCCCGGCTGTCAGAGGCGTGTATATATACATACATTTGGACTGTGCAGGGAGCGCAAGATTACGCTATTTCATGGTTTTTCACGCTGTTTCACGGTTTTTCACGCTGATTCATGTGTTCACGGTGTAGGTGGGGTTTACCTTTGTCACTGCACACTCGGCGGAGCTGTTTGGCAAGAACCCTTGCACACTGAAGGATTGTGAAAAGAACACAGAAGTTCCTTGATTGCGCAAAGTGTGTGTTTTTCAATCTGGTTTCTACCCTTGCTTTGAGTAATTATGTGAGCAGGTCATTTTTGCGATCATGAAGGTGACGCCATGGCGAAAGCTATCGGAGGAGTTGTTGAGCCAGGGCATCAAGAGCTTCTACCGACAGAAGAACCTGGTTCCAGTAGGCGTCACTGAAGAAGCTCTTGCCCCCTGGGCAGCAAAAATGGCTATGGCGTCTAGGAAGCTTGTCCAGCGCTTCAGGCGTATTTACTGCGAGACACCTGAGAATGCCAAGAGCAATAGCTTGAAGGAGTTGAAGTGACTTCAACGCGCAGAGATCATACCACCTCCGAGGGCCAAAAGAGGTCAGACAGATGAGGCCGACATGGAGCCTGTGGAGCCTCAGAAGGCTGCGAGTCCTGATACCATGGAGCAGCTTGTTTCGCCGCCGCCTAAGCACTTGGACTTTGACTGGGCTAAGCTCAGCGGTCTGGTGCAGAAGCGCTTGGTTTCAAATGCAGCTGCAAAGGAGAAAGACAACGCAGTGGTGTCAGAGAAACCTGTTGCTACGCCCGCTCAAGCAGGCCACTGCCAGGTTTTGTACTTAAAGCTTTGGAGAAACAAGTGGTCTCGGTGACTCCTTTTGCCACTACGGCAGGAGATGAGGACGTGCAAAATGAGGATGTGAAGCCTGATGGCGGCAAGTCGTCCAAGCAAAAAAAGGCCAAGGCCAAGGCAAAGCCTAAAAAGATTTCAAAGAAGGCCAAGAAGGTGATAGCTGATGAGGAAATGGAAAGAGAGTTGTGTTTGGACGCTTCCTGTGAACCCCAGCACTCCCAGGAGCAGCCTTTGCCCGGCGAGGCTCCCCTGCTAGAGGAAAAGTGTGACAAGGTGGCTGAGCCTGTGTATGTGGCAAAAAAGTTTGCTGAGATCAGACAGCAGTTCTTGGCAGACTGCAAAAAGAAGGGGCATAAGTACCATGAAGCAAACAAGATGTGGATGTTGAGCGATGATCGCTCCAACCTCCTTTCCGGCCTCTCCCCGAGTGAACTTAAGAGGAGGCGGTTCTGCTGAGCCCTGCGCCTCTCTGTAATTGGAACGCCTGTGGTGCCTGACCACGAGCTGAGTGGGAAAAGTGCTCATGTAAGGAATCGCCTTTCCTTTGACTGCGTAGTAGTGTCATGCATGCGTGGGACATGAGTGCTTGTAGCTGCAACATTGCATGTGCTTGACAGAGCATTTTTGTTCAAGGCTTTGTTTTGTAAGTAAGATGGTCGTTGCTGAGATGCTGAGCTGGAGGTGCCCGGAGATTTTAATTCTCCTGGTCCTTCATGTGACATTTCTCCAAGATTTGTCCTCTGATAGAGTCTTTGCCTTGGATCTTTGCTTGTGCCTCTGACGCTGTCATGTTCATCTGTGTTGAGCTTCAGGCATATGACTGGGTTGAGTTCTTTAGTGGACAAGGACATGTCAGCGCTCAATTCAAAAACGTTTGGGGCTTGGACGCTTTGTGTCAGTCGTTGTCTTCATTTGCACTTGAGTGTGACTGCTGAGGCGGGCTTCTGTGGAGTGGCTTTGGACATTGACTTGGACAAGAGCATGGACTTCCTCAAGCCTGCAGGGCTGCTGCTGGGACCTTGGTGTGCATAGGTGTACTTGTGAAGACTTAGACCTGCTATGTTGAGGCTCTGCTTGAACTGCATTCGAAGAAGCAGGGTGGGCGCTCTGCACCTGTTGGGGTTGGAATGCCGTTCATTCTGTGCTCCGCTACTTGGTACCACGTGTTCAAAGGTTTAGTATGTATGATGGTTCTTCTTCAGGTGAACTGTGCTTGGGATTGTTTGCGCTCAGGGCAAGAGGAAGCCACGCATGCTCCATTGTCTTTCCACGTGGCAATGAAGGCTTTACCTTTGTCCATCTTGGCAACCGCTTAGCGGCGGTGGTTGCCCTTCTTACCTACTACTCTCTGAGCCAGGGTTGCAGGGTATTGATTGAGCAGCCTCAGGGATCTTTAGCTTGTGAACACCCTCGGCTGGAGGTGCTCTTGAGGGAGCTTGGATTGTACCAGGCATCGATCTGGGGCGGAGCTTATTGTCAAGACGCAACACGCTCCACTCCGAAGCAGCACGTCTTGTATTCGCAAGACTATCATTTGCTTTCTCGCCTTCAAGCTGCAGCCGGATATTTGAGCGCTGAAAGATTGGCGGAGTTGCGTGGGCCATCTTTGGTAAAAAAACAGAAGCGTGCAGATGGCACCTATTCATGGAGTGGAAACAAAGCTGAGATGAAAGAGTCTCAGAATCTTTGGCGCGATTAAACACGTCCATGGTTGTGACATATACAATGGTTCTTAGTGCAGCCATGGTTCTCCTGCTGAGGGCCTATCACCCCCCGCTTTGGCTGGCACCTGGCCCAACTCAAGAGTGAGATGGACGCTGGAGACTGGCCTGTGGGGATCTTAAGGGGCTGGTCTGTTACAATGGTTCATGAGCGTGCCTTTGTACCAGGTGCTCCCCAAAGCTCCTTTGGTTGGCGATGAGAAGATCTATGAAACATCTGACGTGGCCCTGTTAGAGGTTGGGTTTGTTTAACTCATGGTTTTGCTGCAGGTGTGTGTTGGTGTTGCCTCTCGAATCTTTGACAGGGGATTCCCTGGGCAGAAGTGGATCTTTGGAAGGATGTTGGGAGCTTATAAGTTTCTGTTGACGCGTAGCTGTTTGATGTGTGCTTGGCAAACTGAGGCTGGTTGCATGGATGCGATTAGGTACGTGAGGCAAAGCCGAGCTTTCCAACCGCCAGAGGCATGGAAGGATGTTTTGGACACTGTATATGCCAAGCTCGTTGTAAGAGAGCGGGCGTGAGTTGTATAGCGCTTCATGGGGGGGTTTGGACGCTTGATGGCTTGCAAGGGGAAAACAGCCCTGTGGGAGAGCAAACGCGCAACTACATCCTTCCAAAACATAGGCCGTGAAAAAACCCGTGATTTCGGCGTGATGTACCCGTGAATCGGCATGATGCCCCGTGAATTTTTTTCCATCGTTTGGAGACAAGGGCACTCATGTGTTTCATGCCTGGCCCAGAAGTTTGTAGAGTTTGGACGCATACAAAGGCTACCTGAAGCTTGAAGCTGCTCGCCAATGGCTTCTGGGGCAGACCAATTCGTTGATCTGCTGATGGCACTCAGGGAGGAAAACCATGGCCGTAAGCCTTCGGCCAACCAACTTGCCAAAGCCTTGGGTATCTCTGCGCACGACGCCAAAGAGATTTTGGATGACATGGACCCCGCCCCGCAGAACAAGAAACTTCGAGTGAGCAAGGAGCCTGATCATCATCCACCTGAACCACCCGCAGCTGCTCCATCCTGCCCACCAGACTTGGAGGACACGTTCAGAGACGAGGATGTG